TAACACGTTAAACGCCACGATAATATCAGGGAAAAATCAAATAAACCATGGTAACTTTGGAAGAAAATTTAGCCCAAAATGTATCAAGGAAATTTAATGTATCAAAGAAAATGCCTTCTACCGAATTGTGTATGTCAGACATATATCTCTGACATGTGTTAAAAATTACTCATGTCGGACATATATGTCTGACAGATATCGGTAAGAAATTCAAAGTGTCAGACACATATGACCTGCAAGGCAATTAACGTGTTAAAACATTAAAATAAAATAGCTTGAAAAACCCCAAAACTGGAATTTACCCCCCCCCCCCCAATAATAATTGTACTATCAATTTGATTTGCGTCTAGGTTATTTCCATAGGCCTATAATAATTTATAAATAAATTATGCTAAACCTTTTGATTATAAACATTAACGCAATTAATGCAGTTTATTTTATTTTTTATTATTTTTAATTATTAGTCCGCCGCTGTACTATTTATAAATGCAATTAAATATTTTGTATTTTTTTTAAATATTTGTCAGAAAATTATTATATTATATTAGCATTTGGATTAATTTCTTACATACATAATAATTTAGTATATTACAATAAAATAACTCAAAAAAAATTTAAAAAATCTCAAATTAATCTCTGACGTTTAAAAAATTTACATTTTTTTATTTACGCCTAGACTTTTTCCATAGGCCTGTAATATTTCATAAATTATGATTGTGATTAAAAGTAGAACCAAAAATATTTGTAATAAATAATAATTAAAAATATCAAATAAGCCATTTTTTACAGATTTTTTTTCAATTAAAAAAATTTTCAATAAAAATTTCAATTAAAAAAAATTGAATAAATGCAGATAGGTTGAATAAAAATATAAATATAAAAAAAGAATTACAATAATTTGAAAACTTTTCGAATACTCAAAGCGAAAACTACAAGTAGTACAGAGAGTTGAAAGGGTTTAGAAAAATAAATAAAATAAATAATTGGGTTATTAATTCTGTAAAAAAATGTGAATATAAAATAATTATATTATTTTACAATTTTTCACTTGAAAAATTAGTAGTAGTAGTGTTCTAATAGGTTCAATAATAAATATAAAATATATTAAATTATAGTTTTGTAGACACAAAAAACGAACAATAAATATTAGAAATATTATATAAATTTAAAAAAAATTGACTCTAAAAGCTGATTTATAAATAATATTGCAACGGGTTAATAATTAAGGCTTCGATGATATTTTTTTCAAAATATCAAATTTTTGTTAGAACTGTTCGATAAGAAATAAAATATAGAAGAATTATATTGGTTATATCAGTGTTAAATTGATGTTAAATATTGTATTAGTTAACATTCAAATTTGTTAAAATTTTAAACCCCATGCAAGTATTTTTTTAAAAAAATATACTTAATAAAAAAAAGTATACTTAAACCTTTGTGAACTTCGTATAAACAATTTGCTTATAATATTTATTATATAATAATAAATAACATAATACTTAAATATACAATAGATCATGAAATTCCCAAATAAAAATATATATATAACGCAAATATATATATAAATATATAGTCCCACGTTATGAGAGCTTTAATTATAATAAATTGTGTATATTAGGGTGGTCCTTAATATGGATATTAAAGAATTTATTTGCTCCCAGTTGCTCAAATAAATACAAATCGAAAAAAAAATCTCTGACAGTTTTAGCTCCTAATATTAACTTTAAGATAGTTTTTTTATAAGTGAATAGTATTTTATAAAATAAATCAAATTTTTGTTGTACATTTTTTATTTATGATAAAAATAAGCAAAACAATGTTATTCTCAAAATTTTTCTTCTTGCTAAGCTATATAATTCTGAAAAATAAATCAAATTTTACTCATGTCATTTTCATAAAAATCTTTGGTTGGAGTGCGGACTATCATAAAGTTAATATTATTTTTGAAGCATTTGAGCCCCTAGGAGCAAATTCGAAAATATCCATATTAAGGTTTACCCTAATATATATTATAAAATTAATAAAAATTAAAACTTACGGCAATCCCTTTCGTCTTCTCCTCTGGAACAATCGTGCCTTCCATCGCATTTTTGGCTTTCAGAAATGCATCTTCCATCGTCGCACCGGAATTCATTGTATTGACAGGTTTCAGCTGAAATAGAAAAAGAATGAATAAATAAATAATATGTTTATACAAATTATATATAAGAAAAAATCCCTACAAAATCGGTCAAAAAATCCCGAAGTAGAAAAGAACACATCTAATGAGTAAAGTTTAGTCTAGATTGAAACTAGAAATAAGGAATAATTAAATAAATAAGAAATAAAAAAATAAATAAGGAACTAAGAAATAATTAATAAAGGTTGTAATTTCAAATGGATCGGAGATATGGACTCTAAGCAATTTCCTTTATAGTATCAAAATCTGGTGATACTATCATGAGAAAAATGTTTTAGTCTGTTAATTAAAGCACATCATATGCTACGTTTGAATATATTTTTGTTATAATATTTTGTTATCAAAATTAAAACTGTGGTTACTCAAATTTACATAGTCTATCTTCTATATTTTTATATTATCAAGACACCAAACATCAAACAAAATTACGTCAAAATATTTTGATCTAATTTGTGTTATCGACGATTGTGTTTTTTCAAGTTTTAACTAGTTTGTCCAATATAGGAAGAGTTACAGTCGGAGCAATTGATTTTTATGCTATATATATATATATATATATATATATATATATATACATATATATAATTGGAAAATGATATCATCGTTTCGGTAATTCGATCCTGGAGGAGATGTTGCAGGAGCAATTTGCAATTGCTCCAAATACGTGCCGCCAGTTTAATTGTTATTGTAATTAATAACTTATTAGATAAACAATATCGTATCACTTACACGAATGACTAACCAAATACACACACACACACACACACACACATATATATATATATATATATATATATATATATATATATATATATATATTAGGTTGTCAAATATCTCCCTTCCGCTTTTTTGCTCTTGGTTTATAATACAAAAAGGCGGAAGGGAGATATTTGACAACCTTATATATATATATATATATATATATATATATATATATGTGTGTGTGTGTATATAAATTAAGTAATAGTGTATCTTCTTTATCTCATAATCCGATTTAAAAATTGAATTCCGGTACTATTAGAAAAACCTGTTTTTTGTTAAGAACTTTCTTCCAAAAATATTTTCTGTACTGAGATAACAACTGACAACACTCATTACTATAAATTTGAATGAAAAATACGATTAATATTAGAAAGTCTTAAAATCAAAGTGTTCATTGGCAAGTTGTAAAGTAATAAATCCTTTTATAAATCAATCCAAAATTAATTTAAAATACCAGTTTCGCGTTTTGGCGTGATTTCACAAAAGTTTTGTTCTTCACTTATTATTACTATTATTATTATTATTATCATTTGTAATTTCTCTTAGTAGTTTCTTTGTCATTCTAAAAGGACACGCAACATGATATGATATGATAGGACAAGAAAGGATATTATATTATATGATACGATATGGAATTCAAGAAGTTTTAGGAAAATTTATTCAATGTCTAAAAACTTTCAAGCTGTCTCGTGACGGAATCATTTGACATGCACACGAATACATGAATGGATAAAATATACATATTTATATATAAAATATATAAAAATTGATATATTCAATTTATCTATTCACGTTTATTTTTAATCAGATTTATAAAATGAAATAAAATATATATTTTCTGAAAATAATTTTAAAGTGATTTGAGTATGAATAAATTGACAAAATGTAAGTGTTATCAAGTTATTCTATTATACATATTCATTCTGTACGTTTCAGCGGAAGATTTAATACAATAACAAGTAAAAATAAAATTTAAGTATATACATGAAAATTATGATATCAGTTAATTTTCTTCGAAAAATTTTAATATATGAATTTTTTTAAATTTTAATCATGTTTTTTATTGCAATATCTGTTACAACTGCTAAATAATATAACATCTAGTAACGTAAGTGAATAATAACAAATATAAATTAAATAGAGTACAAAATAAAGGATAGCATTTTCATTAAAATGATTTAATATAAAATAAAAGCAAATAATAATAATAATGAATTTAGTAAATAAAATAAATAAAATTTGTGAATAATAAAAATAATACTACAAAAACAAAGTAGAATTAAAACAGTAAGTGACAAATAATAATAAATTTGAATTCATGAAATTAAAAAAAAAACTTCATTCAAGTTTATCAATTTCTAAGCAATTTCTTTGCTGAATGCTGACACATATATTGAGTGTATAAACGTACAGAATAAATATTCAGTATTATTCATTGTTAATGATTTTCCAAAAAAAAAATTGACAGAAAACCCGATTTGCTAATTTTATCGATTTTTCAAGTCATTCCTGTATGGTAATATCATTATATTTTAAATTTTCATAAAGAAACCATATAAAGTATTTTACATCATTAGAATCGTTTTAAAATTCTTAGTTTTTCTATATATCCCAACTTCGTATTTCAGAAGGTTTGGCCTATAGGCGAGTTACAGTCTTGAAATGCAAGGAAAATTGGAAAATCCCAAGAACACACTAAAATTGCAAAAAATGTCTGTGAGCCAAAATCTGTCTTTGTGGTGACGTTTTTACAAAAAAAATCTGAACCAATTTCAAAAATTTAAATAGAATTTGAAAAAAACTCGTTTTAAATATTTATTTGAGACGATCGGCCAAGCCGTTGATTTTTCATATATATTCAAAAAGCTTGAACCGATTTTGGAAAATTCAAAAACCGTTTGAAAAATCTTAGTGAAAATCGATAAAAATTAGACAACTTTAATAAAACTATGTGCATATTGATAAGGTTCATAATATAAACAACATTTGAAAATATTATAGGCCTACAAAAAGTAGTTTAATTACAATGTTAGAAATTTAATAATAACATACACCGTGTATGTCCTAAGACCAGTCGAGTACTTACAAAGATGTACTCGTTAAAAGACAATTTAGTTAAATTATTTATAACATTTGAACTAGTTGTCTAAAGTCTTCAGTATGTTAAGCAAATTTGTACAAAATTAAATAATATAAAAGTTTGTCTAACACTATAACACTCTACAGCTACTCTGTATACTCAAAAATCAGTCACAAACTAATATATTGATAAAAATTCACACATATCGAGACGTTTATGCAACTTTAAAGGCAAAATGACGCTCACACCTAGTTAGCTAATTTATTATATACACACATATATATTTATATATATATATATATATATATATTTATATATATATATATATATATATATAATTATATTCATATATGTATGGATATATGCAAAATGCATGAATGTGTAACGCATAAATTCGCTAATGAGTTCACTTTACCCGTTATCAGTTTGAAAACAAAACTTATTTAGCCGATAACAAAACTTAAACAATTTGATACTAATATATGTATATATATACACATATGTATACATATATTTAATGTATTACAATTCAAATCAACAACGATATATAATATAGAAGTCAGTTATGGCTACGAAATAAGAAACCTGATTCTAAGAACATTACCATCGAGACATCTCATAAACAAAAACGAATAATAAATATATGCATTTCATTTTGTTTCGTTTCATTTCAATTTAGATAATTTGTAATAAAAAATATACAAGAGAACGGTACTTTCAACATTAGAAATGATAAAAAGTCATACAAATATATGTGAAGATCGTAGGAATTTAATTTCACTAGAAGAGCAGTAGATTTATATTAATATGTAAACGAGTATATTATATTTATTAACTTCCTTAAGGAAAAGTTTATGTTTTCATCGATTTGCTAATTTTATGTGCCTTGTCTTAGTAATTAAGAGCAAATTGAAAAAAAAATTGTCCAGGTTATAGCCAAAATTCTTAATAGATTTTAAAAATTCAAAAACTCTTCGAAATATATTATTTGGGAATAGTGCTGATTAGTTTTGGACAAAGATCGTATATTAAAATTACATATTTTTCGATGAAACTTTTTATGTCGATATACATAATGGTCTCTAAGAACATACTGAAATATTACGATCCTACGAGAAGTCGTTTAATTACGAAAATTCATCTAGCTTTGAAAAAATATGATGGTCAAAATTTGTGTAAAAATCGCTTTTGTGATGTGGTGAGTCAAAATTTTAACATCACAAATTTAAAACTCATTTTTTTGGAATCAGCAGAAAATAATTCTACAAAACTTCTCTAGGTGAGTAAATAATGTCATTTGTCTTAAGCATGATGCCATACACTACTAGTTTATTTTTATATATAACTTAAAAACAATTTTGTATTAACTTGACGATGAATCTAGTTTTCATCAAATAGGATAAATTACCAAAAAAATGATCCTGATCCAAAAATAAATTATACATTCACCAATTATTTTTTTTATTTAATCAAAGCTTCGGGGACCATTGTTCAGAAATAAAAAAAAATACTGTTGAAGATTATGTAATGATCTCAATTATTGAAAAAATCACTCCCGAAGTCACGTTTTACTTTAGAATAATTATAATAAAAAATAGGCTGCTCTATATTTTTAATTTGAATTTGATGCACGATCAATTTTTTGTGAGTGTTTATTTTCAATTTTAATTCATGAAAGAATTAGATAAACGGTCATAATAAAATGATACATATTATATAAGTATATATATAATATATATATATAAAACAATACATTATATATATATATATATATATATATATATATATATATGTATTTAATTCTAGGGCTCACTATAATTTCGTCTAGACTTCTAACGTGATACAACATTTAGTATAATTATTTCTAATTATACATATATATATATATATATATTATATATATATGTATATATATATATATCATCTATTAAATAATAATTTGACTGGACGTAAAATTTATTATATAAAAAATAAACTAGTAATGAATTCCAAAATGTAAAACAAGACCTAAACTATTTTAATTAAAATGCATTCTTCACATCTTTGCTTCAATGATTGATTGATTAACAACTTATATGCAGATATTAATATTTATAAAATATATACATGTATATATATATATATATATATA